AAGTTGGTTTGGGTCTAGTACGTCGGATGTTACGGGTTCGACTCAATCATAGGAAACTCCTTCATTAAGGGGGAGTGTTTAGCTACATTTGTATATGTATGACATATGTTCCTGTTTTGCTTTTATATTTACTGTTTTATATACATGTTTTTTTTTATATTTTATACTAGCGGATCGGATAGGAAGACGTTGTCCTGACACAAAGATTGGTAAGGAAATAAAAAAAAATAATAGCTAAAATGAAACCAAGAACACAATTTTTTTTTTCAAAATGGTTCAAGTTTTTTGGGATGAGGAGAATTACGAATACACGCACACTGGAATTTTATTACACAATATATAAAGTAGATATATTACAAATATCATCGACTGTTATTATTAAAATCATAAATCATTAATAATTTATGACATGTTCGATGATCATGCAGTTTCTTTTCCTTCATATAAAAGCTATATTCGTGGTAGCTACTCCATACCTAGCTATGTACATATATGTATATTATGTATCAATTGCCACATATATGAGGAGCATCACTTGAGAACGGCTCTTCCGATTTGGTTCATTACAATTTCGATGTCTACCTAATTGTCAGGACAGGTTGTAAGGAAGATTTTCTTTGGAAAATCCTCCGATGCAATGGACAGGTCGGTATTTTTGTATAGAAATCTCAATACTGTCGAATGTGACGGTCAGTTTGATAGTTCTGCCACCACATCTTTTCATAACAAGAATAACAATTATAGTTTTGTAGCTGTTATTATTTTTATAAACTAATTTTTATTTGTAAGTTGTAACATTGTGAATCTTTATGCAACTTGTTTGATATTCTAAATCTTGTTTTGCCTTTACATGTACTATTTTTTAAATGTTATTATCAGCTATAATTAAGGTACTACTCTATATGTTTTATTTTCTATGAATGTTTTAATGTGTTTAGTTTGTACTTTGTTGGTGGTCTAATAAATAAATAAAAATAAAATAGTTTAAAAAAACTAAAAAACACGTTTTTGATGAATTGAAATATGTGGGACTCGTGAAGACGAATCATATGAGCTACGTGTGGTTTACTAGTAGCCACTGAAGAGTTCCACTATTCACCTCCTAGCTGCATCATCAGATCAGCTCAAAGATACCAAATCATATACAAATAATACAACGCTTAATTTTTCGTTCCCGACCATGATTGCTGTAAAGCATTCAAAACGTCTTGAACCAAAAAGCAAAATAAATCCGTAAAAAATTCCGAAAAGATAGTTTTATTTAAAAAATTTCGATAATGAAATTTTCAATGATTATAGTCGAATTTGGACCACTGCGCGAACAGGAGTACAATTAACCCCAGTATGATATACGAGTGCTGTACATACGAGTATGAACACAATAAATTACCTTCAAAGGTTGTTAAAGTTCTAAAATTTTTGGTGAAGGCTACATTGCCTACATTAATAATCTAGATATTCCTTGCGGGAACGAAAATTACTATTAAGTCCAAAGTGGAAACTTAACCGTAATAATACCTATGTGTGTTAAAATTTAGTTTAAATTAGCCGTACGTAAGCTTGAGAGAATAGATAACTAACTATCTTTCGCACGAAACTTTGTGCGTGTTTTTTGTTCAGTAATGTTTAGGGCATTCTGTTTAGGGCTTTGTGCCCTAAGGATCAAAATGACACCCTATAACTAAGCTTTCCATCTATTAATCATTCGGCTGTCCGTATGTCTCTTATGTCATTAAGGAGCTTTTATTCTTCATAACCCTAATAAGTTATTAAGACTTACATTTTTGAAGGTATACTTCTTTTGGCACGTTTGGAAAAATTATGAGAGTAAAATTTTTACGACGCGCGCACACCGACAGCCAAAAAGCGACATGGTCAAATTAGCTGCATTCCATTTACAAACAGAGAGTTGTGACATATTGGATGAAATCTTTAGCTATTTTTGTTCTTTTACACCAAAGAAATATATATAACTTCTTACGTTTCTTATGTACGCAACATATGTAAGTGATGATGATGATGTTCTCCTAGCCGATTTCGGCTACGGCGGCCAATCTCATTGAGACTAGCCAACTGCGCAGGAGATATTATAGTGCTCAAGTGTACGCGCAGACACAAGTGCACTCTCTATTCCTGTCACTCTCATACTCCGGTGGGACGACCACTCGACATGACCGGTGAGAGTTAAGGCGCAGGACCGACGGCTTTACGTGCTCTCCGAGGCACGGGGGTGAAACACCGCCAACTTCCCAACTCCGGGCTGTTACTGAGGCTTACTATACAGAAAGACTCAATAACTAAACTTGGCCCGACCCGGGACTCGAACCCAGGACCTCCGGGTGTGCAGCCGTACATGCTAGCCACTACACCACCGAGGGAGTTAATAGTTAATATATGTAAGTACACACACACACACACACACATTTTTTTATAATATGTGTTATAACGAATACGGTTATTTTAACACATAGCTTGTACGGTTATAGATAAGCTAGAAGTTGGCGGCAAGATCTAAGTCTAACTATTCATATTTTTTGTACTTTTAATAATAATAATTATAATAGGTATAGGTACTAGCGACGTTTCTCGCTTCGCTCGGGTGCCTCAAGTTCCTAGATGACTTTGTATTTATTATATACAGGCAGCTCTAGTTTTTGGAAAATTTAATAGGCAGTGATAGCTCAGTGGTAACGCGCTCGCTTGGGAAATCGAGTGAAGTAGATTCAAATCCCGGGCCTCGCACATCTGATATTTTCATGTGCGAATCATTTCTAACACAATTACCACTTGTCTTACGGTGAAGGAAAACATCGTGAGAAAACCTGCATGTCTGAGAGAACATAGCGAGTTTTCAAAAGACATGCTCAGTCCGCCCGCACTATGGCCTGATCCTCCTCGTATTGAAGGGAGGCCCACGCCCAGCAGTAGGTCGTTATAAAGGGCTGAATATATATGTATAATTTTAAGTCATAAACTATTTGTGTACTAAACTTCATTGAAATCTATCAAGCCGCTTCAACATGAAGGGTTAACAAAAATACATATATTGTAAGTACAAAAGTGTAAAAAAACTTCGTTTTTACTTCTTAAAGCTGCTAAAGCAATTGATTTGAGTCAAACTCAGCATAGAGATAGCTTATATCCGAGATTAATACAAAAGCTATTTTATACGGGACCTATCATGGGAGAGCAGTTGCGGGCAAACTATAAATATCATTTTGTAGTCTTTATTAAAAATATTATTTTAATAATAATAATACCTTCCCGACCGATTTCGGCCACGGCGCCTAATCTCATTGAGACTAGACAGATGCGCAAGAGATATTATAGTGCACTTTCATATTCCGGTAGGACAGATACTCGACACGACCAGTGAAAGTTAAGAACCGATGCGACGCAGGACCGACGGCTTACCCTACTCTCCGACTTTTGAGGTACGTAGGTGAAACACAGCCAACTTGTCATCTCCAGGCTGTTACTGAGGCTTACTAAACAGGAAGACTCAATAACTAAACTTAGCCCGACCCAGGACTCGAACCTAGGACCTCCGGATGTGTCGTACATGCTAGCCACTACACCATCGAGGCTGTAAATATTATTTTACAAAGTTGTATAATATACAGTAATTAAAGTTTTGTTTTCAATATTGAATATATTCTTCTTAAGCTAAAAATATGTTTCATACAACGTAGCACACTGTATGGCTGTCCGAGAGGGAGGGCGGTCTCATTGCGATGCTTGCCGCGTTTTTCATTATTTATACATTCTTGTACAAAGGCAATACATCAAGGGTTGGTTTCATTAACCGTCATCCTCCAGTGAAATGCGAAAGTGCGTTTCTTGATAACGTCCATTTAAATATGCAAGATTCAATTCAAAAATATTTTTTTGATAGTATATTTATGCTATTATAATAATAATATAAATGTATTATTTTACATAATATATGAGTATTGCTTACTTCAGACTTCTTAAATTAGGCCGACCAAGCTTCGCTCCATGTTTTCGGAAAAGATATAAAAATTGCATTTCTTCGGAATAAAATAAAAAAATAAATAAATAAACACCTATATATACATAGACAAACTTAAAAAGTAAAACCTTATTTAAGCATCAAATTTGATCCAAACCATTGGAAAAACCGTTTCCGAAATACAGGATACACATTTATATATACAAGAATTACTCATCTAATATTATATTTGTATCCTGTACATTTAGATCACTTGATTTTAGATTGATTGATTAGATATTTTACTGAGTACTTCTGCTGAGATATTTAAGTTTAAAATCACATCTATATAATCCATCAAAAAATTACTAGATACACAATCCCATGCAAAAGTTCTTTTAAAACTGTCACCAATTGTGTTTAGGTAATTATTCTAGTTTAAACAAATATACAACAATGTAAATTGAACCATAAATGCAATGTTTAAAGTTGTTTTCAAATATTCAAATGAGCGCTCATTCGGCGAGGACAGTTTTTGTCGCTGATTGTGTATGTAGAACTTTTTTGGTCGATACCAACTGATGATGAAATGGAACGTAAAAATTATCTGGGGCTGAGTATTCTACAAAGGATAAAAACTTACGATTTATTTACTCAAGATGTGTCTAATAATAATAACTATAATGTCGTCCCGGCGAGTTTCTAACACGGCAGGCTATCTCATTGAGACGAAATGAGATAAAATGAGAGGAGATGATGGAAATATTATTGTGCACAAGTTTGTACGCAAACACAAGTGCACTCTCCAGTCCTATCACTCTCATATATCAGTATAAATGGATTCCGAGACAAGAGGGTGAAACATAGCGCACTTCCCAACTCCGGGCTGATACTGAAAATGTCAGGACAGAAAATCCTATTAGCTATACTTGGCTCAACCTAGGAATCGAACCCAAGACCTTTAGATCTGCAGCAGTACATGCTAGCCTTAAATGAAGGTATATGTACAAGAACATATACATATGTATAAGAAAACCATTTTACTTACATGAAAATTTAAGATTGATTGGATATCCCAGCACGTGGCCGTGGTGTCGCACCGAACACTGGTACACACCCTCGCTACCGCCACTGTTTCTTCGGACCTCCAACGTTCCATTTTGAGACACCCTGAAAAATGTACTTATGTAAAATATATTAAAGGTCGATACTACAAAATAGTTTACAATTTTTTTAATAATTTAATTTAAAAAAATTTGCTGACAGTACTTCTCAATTAAAAAGTCAGAAAGACTTTAAAATCACTTTTAATTTATTACTTTCTTAGATTTACGTGAATAATTGACATCTATACATATAATAAACATGTAACTGATCGCTGTCTGTACATGGAAGATATTTAAAAAATACTATTGTTTTCTTTATTAACGAAACCGGGGTCTTTATTAACGAAAAAGGAACCCAAAACAATGATTTTTAGAATTTTTGTCTGTTTGTCTGTGCCTTTGTGCGCGCTAATCTCAGAAACGGCTTAAGATAGAGCAATAAGCGATTTGGATGCGGGTCACTAATGTACCCGTATTGTGGTAAACTTCACTTAACCCTTAGTGCAGTTTTTTATTTCCATCGGTATTTGGATTAAAAAAACACAATTCAAAAGAAAATTCAAATGTATATAATTTAATATTCAACTAAAAAATAGTTTTATTTAAAATATGAAATACTTTTGCAAATATTCTTGAAGAATTAAAAGTGAATTTAACTCAAGACATACAAAATATATAAAAGTAATAATTAATTTGATCTTTTAATAAATAAACACTTGGCAGGTGGTCGAGCATCTGCCGATGCAACGCTGATTAGTTTCCGTTCGTCTCATTTAGGCATGATACAGCGGTCAAGGACCTATTGTCACACAAAAGGTTTGACCGATTTCAAGAAGAAGATATTCGATTCTTATTCTTTTTAGTAAAAATCTTCATATAAGAAAATCCGGGTTCTTCCTCTTTTTTAAATAATAAATATATTAATAAATAAATATGTTGGGACATTAACACACATCACCATCTAGCTCCATAGTTAGCTACGAGGTTTATGTTATGAATACCAGATAGTTGATAAACATATATAACTTTAAATATATACATACATATTATAAATATAATGTTTGGTTTCATCACACAAATGAATGCCCCCAGCGGGACTCGAACCCGCGACCGCTGGCACAGCAAGTAGGGTCACTACAAACTGAGCCAAGCCTGCCGTGATATGTGTATATAATATACCTACATATATTATAAATACATATATACAATAAATATTATGAAAATATTAATTATCAATGGTGCTTTTTTCGAGTCTGAATGACAGCTACCGCGCTTGAATTCGCCGCGAGAGGCGCTAGTGTAGAGTGAGGTCTCTAGAAATGTCAAATGTCACTCAACATTTACTGTTTGCGAGCTTTCCATCGCGGATTTTCACTAATTATTTAAGATTAATTTAAAAATTGTGGGATCCTGAATAATTATCATAGACATATGGCATGGCTCAATGAATATTAAAATAATAATAAAATATTTTATTTATTTGGTTATTATCAAACAAAATCCTGATAGAACTGAATTCACGCTAACAAATATTATTATTATTAAATAATTTATTGATCCTGCCGCACTAACAAATACTTTTTCAACGACAGCGTTAGGCCCTCACTCGCCAGTGGCGCCATCTGGTGCCACCAGAAACGATAGCCCATTCTTCTCATGTTATCCCATAAAATCTTTGAGCATACTCAAAGGCCGTTGAACAGTTTTGTTGAAAATTTCTATCGTTCGTAGAATATTCTCTGTACAATAAAAATTATTTCCACGAGACAAATTATTCCAGAAATAAATTCAATGTTGTGTAACTTTGATTCTATGACAGTTTTGTTATTACATAAATTCAATATTTACCGAGTCTCTGAGTTTAAATGTATTATTTACTAAGAAAATAATAATGGGAATCTGAATGAGTGTTCAATGAATAATTTGGACTTTTGTGTCATTTGACTTGACAGTTCTAAGGATTTAAGAGAAAATCTTAGAAAGTGAAATCAATTAAAATATACTTTAATTAAATTGGCTTTTACAAGCAATTTTGAATCATAAATATTTATATCTTTTAAATTCGATCTCTTCTATAAGTAAATGAGGAAACTACCACAGGTAGGTAGAAGGATAATTTTCTAGTTTATTTACCGTTTTGGGTTGATCTCATCGTCGCCCTTCCTCCACGTGAAGAGCCTGGCCCTCGCGCGGTCATCGTCGATCAAGGGCGGTGGTCGGCGGAAGTGGACCCGCCAGAACCCCGCCACTGTGCACGGCAGAAACGCCGTGCGGGGAGTCTGGGACCATGTTACAGGAATATCTGTAGAGGAAAAAAAACCATTAAATTTTAATTAAGACTTAGTTTTTATCTAATTATTATAGGATTGTTATTTGATATGAGAAAAAAAACAAACACTTTTACAATCATTTGATTTGTGATCTTAAATATTGCAAGTTTTGCAAAATGTAAATTTTGCAAGCCTTTAAAAACTGTAGTTATGTACCTATAAGCCAATGGAATATTAAATATAAATCATTTTATTTATACCTGTGGTTGTTACAACCCAACTCCATGCTGCTACTTAAACCCATCAATGAACACTCTGGGTTTCTAAAAATGTCAATCAATATAATATTTTTACCATTTACATGGCCTTATAAACTGCAGTCTTATACACTAAGAAAATAAAAAAATAAATACATATATACGTACCAGAAAACGTTGGAAGTTATATAAAGAAACAACTTCAGAGAGAATCTGCGGAAAACAAAGTATAATAACTTTGAAATCTGACACATTTCACCGAGAACCTTTGAAACAAAATCTCACAAACCTTTAACGTTGTTCTCTTTCAAAATTCGGATGGATGTTTAAATATTTAAATACCTACCTGAATTTAATGTCTAAATCCAAGCCCACGCTCTTGGCTTTGCTTCATATAATAAATATTCCATATAGAAAAATCGTAATTCAATGATCTTATTTCAGAAATACATTTAATGTTTGTCAAAAATCTTTTCAGTTTTTTCAAAAATGGAGGAAGTCTCTGTCGAGTGTAAATCAGCGGAACTATAAACCTCTTTTTAATTTTTTTTTATATGAAATTAATTTATCTCTGCTAGTGAAAATTACCATTAACAATCCTGTTAATATCGATCAATAATAATAACAAATAAACTATCCGTCGATTTGTTTACTTAAGTAACTTCATAACGGTTTTGTTTAACCTCCAGGTAAATTTCTAAGAAATTAATTCAAACTAAGAAATCTATTGTTAACTGACACGCCGGCGTGTCCGCCGTCGTGGAGGGATTAAATATCTATCTGCAAAATCAACTAAGGATAGGGTTTGTATGTATGTATTCAGCCCTTAACGTCGCACTGCTGGGCACGGGCCTCCATTCAATACGAGGAGGATCAGGCCATAGTCCACCACGCTGGTCATGTGATGGTTGGTCGTTGGCAGAATAGCTGCCTACATTATATGCCATTTTATTTTCTACCCAATAAAAACATTTTCTTTTTTTTTTAATTATTCTATTTACGACTTGAGATTTCTTTTATTTTTATTGTTAATACAAGATAAGCTGCCTACATTCACATAGAGATGATTTAAGACTATTATGAATTGAACGTCTATGTTTACTACTATATGCGACTTACTCAGGTGCGTCCCTATGTACGTTTTAATTTTTTGAGCGGAACTCTAATTCTTTATCTGCCAATGAAAGTCTTGTCAAAATTGTTCCAGCCGTTTCGAAGATTAACCGAAACAAACAAACAGACAGACAAAAAATTTAAAAATTGTGTTTTTCTTAAACGTTCTGTATATATAGTTTTATATGCATTTAGTAAAAAGCTTTTACTTTGAAATTACAAACAGACACATCAATTTTATTTATCTGTATAGATAGAAATGTTAAACCCAATCAATTAGATAGTACAGTAGCGATTTTAACGAGCAATTTTAGGACCAAGTTTAAATATTGAACGATCTCTATGTCTTACTTGATGAGAAGAATTGGTACAATTAATTTAGTAATGAAGGAAATTATTACATATTTACATATATATAAATGTATTATTTATGTGTATGTATAAATGTTATTCCTTTTAGTGGCTAGCATGTACGACTGCACACCCAGAGTTACTGGGTTCGAGTCCCGGGTCAGGACAAGTTTAGTTATTGAGTTTTTCTGTATACGAGTAGTACTGAGTCTTACTCAGTAACAGCCCGGAGTTGGGAAGTTGGCGGTGCTTCACCCCCGTGCCTCGGAGAGCACGTAAAGCCGTCGGTCCTGCGCCTTAACTCTCACTGGTCGTGTCGAGCAATCGTCCCACTGGAGTATGAGAGTGACAGGAATAGAGAGTGCACGTTGTATCTGCGCGTACACTTGTGCACTATAATATCTCCTGCGCAGTTGGCTAATCTCAATGAGATTGGCCGTCGTAGCCCGAATTGGTCAGGAGGACATTATTATTAAGTTATTCATTTATACTGAAGCGGCTGAATGATCATTGATGAAACCACAATAGGCTATAACCTGGAGTAATATATAGGCTACTGTGAAATACTTAGTAATACTACCTAACCTAACCTAGTAATACTTAGGCTTCAGTAACGCACCCGAACAAATCTAGGATAAGTCGCTAGTTAGCTTAGCATCTTCTTTAACATTTAGAATTTTATTCAAAACTTCAACAACAATTACAGATATAAATATGTTGGGACATTAACAAACAGCACCATCTAATTCCATGGTAAGCTACGAGGCTTGTGTTATATACACTACCTGCACATTTATAACTTTAAATACACGCATATTATAAATATGAACATTAAACGTCCATGACTAAAGTACAAACATTCGTGGTCATCACACCAATGAATGCCCCCAGCGGGACTCAAACGCGCGACCGCTCACACAGCAAGTAGCACAAACTTAGCCAAACATGTCTTCAGATACATACATACATACATACATACGTGCTCTATCTTAAAAAAAACTCCGGTTATTTATTAAAAAATATAACTATTATTTTATTATATTTAAATGAACAGATTTGATTATAACAACTTGTGATAGAAACATCGTTCGTTGTTCAAAACGTCTAACTTCGTTGTACATGCTCCAATAAGCAAAGGGGATGGAGACCTATAATTAACTAGATCATAATAATACAATATTCCAGTTGTTTTCACACTATAATAACATTTGTATTTTTTTAGGATAGCAATTGTATGTATATACATATTTTTTAGCTTAGTTTGTAGTGACTAAATATCTTTGGACATTAACACACAGCACCATCTAGTTCCATGGCAAGCTACGAGGCTTCTGTTATGGATACCTGATAGTCGATAGACTACACATATATAACTTTAAATACATACATATTATAAATATAAACACACATGACGAGAGTACAAACATTCGTGCTCATCACACAAATGAATGCCCCCAGCGGGACTCGAATCCGCGACCGCTGGCACAGCAAGTAGGGTCGCTACAAACTGAGCCAAACGTGTCGTCAAAATACATCGCAATTCAGAAATAATAATACTAATTTTAAATCTATTAGTAGAGCGCCGGGAGGTTTCAACAGAATACAGACACAGTAAACACTTGCTTATATAAGTACTTTTGAATATTGTTTAATATATAAATTTGTATTCAGCCCTTTTAACTCCACCCACTGCTGGGGGTAGGCCTCCCGATACGAGGGAGATCAGGTCATTGCCCACCACGCTGGCCAAGTGCGGGTTGGCTGCCTTCATATTTCTTTCGAAAACTTGCTAGTTCTTATCAGACATGGTTGTTTTCCTTCACCCTAAGACAAGTAGTAATCGTGTTGAAAATGATTCGCACGTAAAAATATCAGAGGTGCTAGACTTGAGAGTTGAACCCGCTTCCGGTTTTCCAAGCCAGCGCGTTGCCACTGGGCTAGCACTGCCTTAAATAAATAAATATATAAAATACATAACAAATCTAGTTTAGAAAAATATACCATTGAGCAAAAAATACTCTCTTGTTCTATAATATACGATAATGGCGAACTTGGACAAATATAAAGACAACATAAAGAAAATTGTTCATGTTACATGTTATAGATATAATGTTGGCAAATCATTGTTTTATTAAAATATTGCTTTCGCTCGCGACTCTACTCGCATCTTAAGTGGGGTGAGGATAAAGGGTTGCCTCTGTTCGTCCCCTAATGCCATCTTTGTCCTAAGGATGAAAGAATAACAAACAGACAGATTTACTTTCACATTTATAATATTAATATGAATAGTCTTGTTTCTATTATATAATAAAATGAGCCTGGCAACTGTAGGTCTATTCTGTAAGAAGTTGCAACTCGACAGCTGAATCCGCGAAAATAAATATGTATTATGTACATACTTCATACGGTTGTATGAATTATAAGGTTCAATCTGTGCCTTGTTTGTTTTATAGAAAAAAATATTCTAAAAGAAATATTAAGAATTTTGTTTGTCTTAGGAGTACAATATTTTGTATTAAATTTTCGAATTCGACGTCTGTTTGTCTTTTACTCAGTTAAAGTCATATAATAATATTTTATTATACAACTACTCACAACTACACAAAACTCTTACTTAAAAAAAAACCAAACCACTTTTTTCACCCTTTTTGTTAAGACTAGATTTTAACTAATAGTAATAGAAGAAGCCGCAGGCAGCAATTAGTTTTATACATGTGTGTATAATATCTAAATACCTAGGCAATTTACAGATACTCTACCAATTCTATTGAATGACCGATATATATTCCAATAATTAATATATATATACATATATATATATATATATATATATATATATATATATTACATATATGCTACAATACATCTACATACTCTAATAACGAATACAGATGACGTATATCAAAATATTAGTTGACATTGACCCTAATTTAAGTAAATGTGGTGTCCCAGAAGACTCTTTGCGACGATATATTTGGCAATAACAAAATGAGATATAATGTTAAATTAATCTAACAATCGTTGTAGCGCTATATTTTGTACTCGCAAATCACCCTCGCTTCGCTCGGGTTCGTCCTTAGCTTGCTTCCCAATACAAACTTTCATATCCTATGTATTTCTGAGGGTCTCCAAATATCTTCTCAACAAATTTCATCTAAATCGGTCCAGTCTTTTAGCGGGAGGGAGTAACGCAATATCTACAGGCACATACAAATTTTCGCATTTATAATATGACGCCTTAGTGCTTACTGCTTATTTGTTCAAACCACCAACACTTGATGTGCTTTACAGTTGAATCTTTTTCTCTATTTTAATAACAAAGCTTTATTTCTATGATAGGTATATCTCAACACAAAAAGATAACATATTTTTTTTCAGCCATTTAAAATTCAATAAGTCTGTATTAAAACCTCTTTCGGTAAATTGTTCATTTGGACAAATAAGCAATGAGACGAGAAATAGTAATTTGACTAGTTATCTACCCTGACTTCGCTCAGGCAACAATAGTACAACAATATGCCCTATATTAATTTCTGACTAAAAGTACATTAAAAACAATCACTCTTCTACATAAATATTAAACATAAAAATCCTCATATTTGTTTGTACTCATCAACAAATAGATATTACGCGGCATTATAAGTACCAAAACCGTAGTTCGCAGGGGGCGTTATAGGAATTACTGCGCAGGTCAAGGCTATACCACCTGTCCCTTTCACGCTCACCTCAAAGCTCTCCCCTCTCTCTCACACAATGCCCACGTGACTACAATTTCGGTACGGTTACACAGTACTATGTCAGTGTGAAAACACTCTCGTCATTTTGGTCAGAGCTAGCGAGAGTGTGTTGGTTGTTGGAAAACGCGTGTTAATATTTTTGTTTGCATCTTCTATTACCGCGTGCGAGGGAATGCGGAAAGGTTTAAAGGAATTAGGATAGATATCTATGCTATATAACAATGTATCTATCGATCTATACATGTAATTAAATTGTAACTGAACAGAATCTGTACAATAAATATTTTTTTTGGGAAATCTTATTGAAATAGCCATTTATCGATACCGAAGCCGAATCTATAGTTTTTAGAATTTTTGTCTGTCTGTCTGTGACCACATCACGGAAAAACCACTGGAGGAACTTTGATGAAATTTGCTATGGTGACAGCTGGTTATCCGGGTCAACATATAGGATACTTTTTACCGCGGGAAAATATCTCATTTCTGCGAAAAAATACAAAAATTGCAATGTAAGAGTATGTATACTAAATATGTAAAAAAAAGACTTTGGTTCTTGGTCATCTTAACACCTTCGGAGCCGCGGGCAATGCTAGTACAGTATATAAAACTACATTAATTACTCATAGTGAGAAATGTATGTTGTCAGTTTGTCCGTCGAATACGGAATAATAGATTTATTTTGTTTTTAATATAGTAGAGACTCGTGTATAATATCACTTTCTATTGATTTTTAGCAATGTACAGTGTTACTTTGTATTAATATAGTAAAAGTTTGATACCTTGAATTGGCACATATTTAAACCATATAATACATATTAGTATAATTATTTAAAGGGTCTATACACTTTTTACGATAGCATCATTATTTCTAACTTGGAAATACCAGAATTTGCTTTAAACGCGAATTCCTTTAATTGCTACGAGTATTTTCAAATGAAACCAAAGGCACAAACATAGAGCTACAGCTTATAACTTTAAATTACATCATGCTTTCAAAGGGATAACGTACTCGTATATATAACATTTTCCTCTATGCCAGTACTTGTCTCCCTAAAGCTGTTTTTTTACCCTTCGACATTCAACCCTCGAATTCAACCCCGAAGTTAGAACGGCACATTCCTTAATAACGTTTAATATAGCAAATCACACGCAATTTGTAAGAGTTTTATAGGTGCTGGAGGCTTTTTAGATCTGTTTATGACAGCGATATGCCTGCGTATATATACAAATTAATTACAAATCCTTTCTATTATTTGGCTATTTTTATTTCGAGAGATTTAAAAATCATGCCGTTTCTTTTATATATGTAAGTTTGTAATGTCGAAATAATAGATTTTGAATAAAAACATATAAAAGTATATACGGCACTTATAATAAAAAAAACTATTTTAATTTTTTTGTTTGTCTGTTTGTTTAGGCTAATCTCCGAAACGGCTGGGCCGATTTTGAAAGGACTTTTACTGGCAGATAGCTGATTTTATAATGAGTAACTTAGCTAAGCTAATTTTATTTAAGAAAAAGGATTAGGGTTCCGTGCAACAAAATTAAAAGCCATAAAATTGCGAACAAAGTCCGCGTACCGAGGGACGTACCCAAGCGAAGCGAGTGTAAATCGCTACTCTAATAAGTAAAATAATCGGGAGTATATTAATTTTGTCCAAAGTATGATGTTTAAAGAAGTTTTTTACTATTATTTGTATTTATTTTTGTTAGATTGCTAAGAGTTAATATTAAATTATATTATATCATTTCATATACAGAGAGAGAACGCACATGATAGTATGAAATAGGAAATCAATTTTCCCTATCCGTTATCTGCTTCTACGCTAGAGATCGCAGGTTCCAACCCCACTCGGAATAAACATAGCTCATATAAGTATTTGTCATCGGATGGCTTTCACTGACCCTCATTTTACAGGAATTCAGTGAGCATCGTAAAGTCTATAGAATTATTTACTTATTTTAGGGTGAAGGTACTTTACAAAGCACTTTGTCTTAATATTAGGTCTTAAAGTGTATTTGATCTAGGACTGGGGTAGCAGTTCCATCCAAACACCACATTGTACTAAGACAATCATCAAGATAAAATGTATGTACTATTTTGAAACCATTAAAAAAATGGAAGAACTGTAAAACAACGTAACATTGTAAAGTCGTTATTTTTGGTAGCCAATATAAACATAATAAAATTCAATATATTCTCATACATTTACGCAATAAGTATCTAATATTGTTCGCTGAGTAACGGATCCATGGATCTTAAATAATAAATAAATATGTTGGGACATTAATACACAGCGCCATCTCGTTCCATGGTAAGCTACGAGGCTTGTGTTATGGATACCAGATAGTTAATACACTACACATATATGACTATAAATACATACATATTATAAATATAGACACCCATGACTGGAGTACAAACATTAATGCTCATCACACAAACGAATGCCACCAGCAGGAGTCGAATCTGCAACCGCTGGCACAGCAAGTAGGGTCATTAAAAACTGAGCCAATCATCTCTGTATGATACACGTTTGTTCCTAGCTTCTACCTATTTGCTTGCCTGCGAATAGTTCAACACTTATTAATATAACAAATATAATACGAGTAAGTTTAAATTTAAATAGGCAAATCGACTTTAATATTAATTTAAAAATTATATATATGGGACCTCTTTTCTTGACGTATAAATTATTTATTTCAAGAAACATCATGTGATTTTCACAATTTTCGAAGATACCGCGTAACATACACCCTACATAAAGCCTGGGCCCAACGTTAGTACCATTAACTTACTCTAAAGTAAAAAAAATTGATGTAATTACAACTTTTTATAACTTAGATAATTTCTGAAAGAAATTACGTAAGATGCGGTTGAAACCGAGGGGCACAGCTAGTTCATAATAAAAAGAAAAATAAAAAGCACATTTTTACTAAAACTATAGTAAACACTTTGTTCTTATTCTAAGTTAATTTGTAGAACAAGTACAATCGAAAAGAAAACACTTCTTTATACTTATCTTTTAGAAACTCAATACGATATATATAGTAGCTTTTTAAAAGTTAAGGACAAATAAATAATTTAGATGTCCTCCGAGGCCCTCCCTCACGTATTAACGTACATGTTACATGCTACACACATTAAATGCGTACGGATGTGTATTTATTATACAGAATTGTGTCGCCATTTTACGCACAATATGGATAGGATATTTGTTTTTTGTCCTTCAGTCCTAATAGGATAGGGTTTTAGTATACTTTTTACTGACTTCCTTTTGCCATCCAACATTGATATCCTTCTGAACTGATGGTCAAAGTCAAACATTTTTAGCAGTTGACCTTATAAATATTGTTTTGAATTTTTTTTTTTAATAAATTTACTATCAAAAAAATATTCTATGTATGTATATTATTTAAAATTCGCGTAAATCTAAGAAAGTATTTTAAGAATATCATCTTAACAAACAAGTACACTATCTATTTCTCTCACTCTGAAAGTCCGGCGTGATGGCAGAATTTGACCAGTAAAAGATCAGGCGAAATAACGGCACGCCAGCTTTACGTGCTCCCCGAGGCTCTAAAATTTTCATGACAAAATAACCAATAACTATTCTTGGCTCGGGCCGGGATCTCCGGCTTTATAGCCGTACATACAAACCAACTGTACCAGATCATACAAATCCATGGGATCGTACTCATGGACACTTACAAATTCATGGTACATCGTAACGGGAAAGAGTTATGGTTGTACGTTTTATATATATATATATATATATATATATATATATATACTACCGTTTGCCCGCGACCTAGTCCAAACATATAAATATAATGGCTCCACTTCTATGGGCTATAATGATGATGACGTTAGATTACCTATAACCTTCCGCGTTAAAAGCTATAAAAAATAAACTATACAAAATAATAAAATAAAATTTCATGTAAAACTGATACTCCCAGAGATTAGCGATCAAACAAACAAACAAATTCTTTAGCTCTATATATTAATAAATATATTCTATAGAGTGTAATTTACACAGTCATTTGTGAGGTTTACAAAACGTAAAATTCCCCGGAACTAAATAACAAATTATTTATTAAGTAAACGGCGTAATATAACGACGCTCTTAATTATAACAACGTATATTTTTATTTTATTATTAAGTTAAAGAGGTAATTAGCGTTGTTAATGAGGCATTAGTGCAATATAGTAATATAAAATAATTGTTCATGTTTCATAATATATGTATAATATACATATATGTATATACATATGTATATAATTATATATATATATATATATATATATATATATATACATATATATATACATACATGTATATACATACGTACATTGTAGTTAAAGGACAGGCATAGTGACTTCAAGTAATGTTATTCGAATGTATAGTTCTCATTGAATTCTGATTTCAGTGACAATTTTAAATCGATTAATATTCACTCAGTGGTTAATATTTGACCATAATCATTTTTTTTTATTGGTAACATTAAAGCAAAAAAAAAAGAAAATCGGTTGATGAATAAAAGAGAAAAAGGTACTGAACTGTTTTGTCTTTACCTATTTGTATATAGATTATAAAAAATTCTAAACTTTTAAAGTGCTATTAAGTTTTTAATGATAGTGTAATTTTTTTTTGCTTTTTTTTTCTTTAGTTAACTAACAAAAATCTGTGGGTGTGTCAAAAGTTACTAAGTATATGCGAATATGTAATTACTATTCATTGACTTCTGTTATATGGAAATCATTTCCCAATTCTAAAATTAACAAGAATATATCAATTGATACATGAAGTGGCTTGTTTATGTCCGTCCACCACTTCCATATTTTTTAGCATATTATGTAAATTAACACAACATAATAATTGATTTTTTACTAAAAGTGTAAACTGACATCGAACTTATATTAACGTATACCTATTATTAGTATTTCGTAACAAATACATATATGTATATAATACTAATATATACAAGTTTCACCCTTGGTCAGTCCCCAAGAAAGGCGTTACCAAGTTTCAAGGACCATTCAGTAACAGCTGTCAAAATTAATATATTTGATCAAACTAATATCGGAATTGCTATATACTTGTACATTATACAATCCTACATACAATTCAATTATCCGCACATTTCGCGGATACATTTTTGAAAATCTTATTTTTCTATACAATAAGCACGTATATGGAAAAGTTTAGTCCCATTTCGAAGGGGAAAATAAAAGATATTATCTATTACTAGTTTAACACCGCGGTTTCGTTCGCTTAAAGGTATATATTATTTAGGATTTTTTAGCTACTTCGAAAATATAAGGTTTATTCAGACTTTAATTATATATTATAGTGTAAGATAAGATCAACAAATAAGTACGTACCTACGTATAATTATTTTTTCCATAAATACAATATGTCTACATAAAAATTAAAATAATATATTTGGTTTACAAAAAAGGTCCACAAAGTTCAAAACACAATATAGAATATTGTGTTAGAAGAAAAAGTAAAAAGTACCGGCGAAAAAGCAAAAGTTGCCGGTGTCAAAGTTCTCGAAAGTACGAAAATCTAATATTATATAAACTTTTCACATTCGAGTAAGTTATCAGCATATAATATGTGAAGCACAAACCCTTACAGAATCACAAACTTGTGCATGAAAAATATTTATTATTATTGAACTAAATAAAAAAATATGTTTAGTAGAACCTCTAATAAAACGTAAATAATATATAGATAACAATAATAACTATAAAATGACGTTTGAGACATTTAAAAAAAATAGTCTTTCCCATGATCACGATTGCTGTAAGTGTAAAGCATTCAAAACGTCGGGAACCATAAATCAGTAAAAAATAGTTTTATTTAAAATATCAAATATTTGCGTAAATCGAATAAATAGTCTTTAATAAGTCTTTATTCGTTGATCTATACATTTAATAAAATTGTAACTAAGACTAATCTGAACATTTAATATTTTTTGAGAATTTTATCAAAATTAACATTATTATCGTTACAGAGGCCAAATCTATAGTTTTTAGAATTTTTGTCTGTCTGTCTGTGTGTGATCGCATGACGGAAAAAGCACTGGAGGCATTTTTAATGAAATTTAGTATGATAATAGCTGGCTATCCGGGTCAACATATAGGATACTTTTTACTGCGGGAAAATATCTCATCTCTGATAAATCTATACTAACAGTCAAAACGTAAGTAAGGAGAAACCGAACGGAGTGAGGGTGAGTGACTAGTCTTATATAAATGCTTTATCGCCATTATAAGAGATATAAACAACCTCCACACACATACATAAATCATTACGTAATTTCGTATATTACGCGAATTTTTGGCATCTATATACCTAACCTATTAAATAGATAAAAATGAAACGCTGTTCGTTCATAAGCGCATATAGTTTAAGAAGGCATAAACGAATTTCAATATCCTTGTAAAAATGTTTCTAAGGGTCCGAATAAAGATTTTAAGAAAATAAAATAGAAAATTACAGTAATAGTTAAAGGATCATTGGGAAATACAGGTATATCTGAAAATGATTTTTCCATAGCATATTTACAAAAAGCGAGAGACCATCGAAATTATTAAAAATTTGATAAAATAACATCTCTTATATTTTAAATTAAACTATGTTTTCAAAATTCTTCTTAAGGGATCGCCCCTGCCCAGCAGTGGGACATTGAAAAGGGTTAAATAGAATAGATAGATAGCATATCTATTTTACTTTGGCGATAGTACGATAATAGAGCACCATAGAGTTAAAAAATAGTTTTTAAAGAAATTATACTTAGCGAAAACAAAATAAAATGACAAAATGTAGAGTCCTTTATACTCTATACCTCTTTAGTTAAGAGACCGGTTAAGTTGTAAACTTAAAAGGTTCATGTCAACTTACACTTAAGAAGATCTCATCACTATAATTTCGCTATTAAGTTATATTTAAAACAATTATACTTATCTTTAATTGATGACATTTCAAGAGACTAACGTTTTATGAAATCATGGCATTATCATTTTGTGTATAAGATGCCTCTGTAGTCAATCGCAATAAGTTTAAAATCCCTATACAGCAATAAGTCTGAAAACTCTATAGCTTAGAATGCACTTAACATTCTATTACAATATATGTATAGCTCTTAGCCTGTTTAGAGTATAATAGTACAAAAACTACTCTGGCAAGAGATTTTAGAAAGAATCTACTGCGATAGAACTTTTTAGTGCGAAATTAAAAGATACCTTAGATTATTAAAAAATAATCTAAGCAAGATACAATAAATGATTGTAAATATAAAAGATTGAAAATATCTCATTTCTGAGAAAAAATACAAAAACTACAATGTAAGAGTATATTAATATGTAAAACCTAAGAATTTGGCATTTGGTAATCTGAACGGGGGCGGAGCCGCGGGCAATGCTAGTAAATCTATATACTATAAATAGGCAAATACAAAACAGTTCAGTAAATTTTTCTCTATTTGTGAACCGATTTTCTTTTATCTGTTTAGTAGCCATTGACGAGCGTTAGATTCAATCAATAAAAAACTTTTGGAAACAGATTTTTTTATATGTATAGGCAAATTCTATTCATAAATGTTTTTCTCAAATTTTCAATAATGAATATGGTCGAATTTAAACCACTGGGTGAATGCTTGTATTTTTAAATGGGCACTATAAGAGCAAATACTTTTTACTCATATGTTTTTGTTTGTATTGTCGTTAGAGGCTTTGTATTTTTAACTGCATAGCGAAATATAAATGAAACAGTTACAAACATCTATTTTAAGCAAGAATCGAACACGCATCAGTTTCAAACAAACAAACAAATTGTTCAGCTTTGTATATTAATAAATATTTCAATAGAATACTTACAATTATAATTAAATATTAAAAAAAAATATTTTTAGATTTTCGCTCTGTGTATAGGAATAGCAGTTTATGAATACACAAAGTCGGGTTAAAAGTAAAATACTTTAACTAGAATACGTTATAAAGTGTCGTAGTAATAGTGGTCAGTGCAACTGGACAAGTTAGAGAAAGGAATATTGAATGCATTGCCTCACGCTAAGGGTTGTCAATTTTAGGGAAATAAGCATTGTATTTTATCTTTTTAATTTATTTTATAATCTATACTATAATAAAACAGTAGAAGTTGAATGTCTGTACATAGCAAACAAAATGCTAAAAACCGAGTCAGGGGGATGTAAGAAGACAAATAGAACAAAACCAGATTTTTTTCAATTTTTTTGTTTCTCTGTCTGTTTGTATGTTTGTACGGACTAATCTCCGAATCTATTGGACCGATTTAA